AGAGAGCTGGCCTGGAAGAAGGGCAACCGGGACAGAATCCGGCGCCCCAACGGGGACTAGAACCCGGTGTGACGGCGCCGCTAGGCGGATGATTAGCCTAGTGAGCCGCGGCGCCGGCTTCGAAAATATTTTTTTTTTAATGATGCGTTTATTTGAAAGGCCGGATTACGGAGAGGGAGGGAGAGAGCTTCCACCCGCTGGTTCACTCCCCACATGGCCCCGGCGGCCCAGGAGGCAGGAGCTCCATTCGGGCTTCCACACGGGTTCAGGGTCCAAGCAGGTGGGTCATCTGCTGCTGCTTTCCCAGGCCAGAGCAGGGAGCTGGATCGGAAGTGGAGCAGCCGGAACTCAAACCAGTGCCAATAGGGGATGCCAGCATTGAAGGTGGTGGAACCGGCTCCACCACAATACTATTCCCATCAATAAATACTTTCTTTAAAAAAAAGTGTGAAGAACATGATAGAAGCATGGGGCCAGCCTTGTGGCGTAGAGGGTTAAGTCACTGCCTGTGAGGCCGGCATCCCATATGGGCACCAGTTCAAATCCCAGGGGCTAAATTTCTGATCCAGCTCCCTGCCAATGCACCTGGGTCTGCAGCAGAAGATGGTGTGTTTGGGTCCCTGCTACCATGCAGGAGACCCGGATGAAGCTCCTGGTTCCTGGCTTTGGATCAGCCCTGTCCCAGCTGTTATAGCCATCTGTGGAGTGAACCAGTGGATGAAAGATTTCGCTCGCCCTCTCCCTCTCTCTGTGACTCATTCAAATAAATAAAAATAAATTTTAAAAAATCAAAACGTGAGAAATAAATGAATAGATGTTCTTTCGAGTCAGGCACAGAAGGCAATAGGATAGTGGAATTAATTCCCTGGGCCTATCGCATTGTCCTGATGTTTTTTCAGATCCCAACTCAGCTTTGTATGCAGAAAGCTGACTGAGCAGGTGCATTTCTCTGCAGCACTGAGGAAGTAGCTGGTGTGGGGCTCGTTCCCCCTTTACATTGAGTCAACTGATTTTTTTTTTTCCATTCACTCACACTCCCAAAGAATTTTGAGAAACTATGAATCAATCCCCTTATGTATTTTTAAAATTTATTTATTATTTGAAAGAGTTACAGAGAGGCAGAGGGAGGGGGAGAGAGAGAGAGAGAGAGAGAGAGAGAGAGAGAGGCCTTCCATCTGCTGGTTCACTCCCCAGATGTCCACAATGGCCAGAGCTGCATCAATCCAAAGTCAGGAACCAGGAGCTTCCTCTGGGTCTTCCCACACGGGTGCAGGGGCCCAAGGACTTGGGCCATCCTCTGCTACTTTCCCAGGCCATAGCAGAGAGCTGGATTGGAAGTGGAGCAGCCAGGTCTCGAACCAGCGCCCATATGGGATGCTGACACAGCAGGTGGCGGCTTTACCAGCTATGCCACAGTGCCGGCCTCCCCTTATATATTTTTGTGGTAAAATACACTGAAGAGTCACTATTGAACCATCTTTATGTATATGATTCAGTGGCATTATGTACATTCACTGAATTCCATGTGCTAGTCACTGAGTCTCCATTTCTAGAACTTTTTGTTTATCTCAAACTGCTTCATTAATCTCCGTATGAAGGAAACAACTTCCATTCCCCCCACTCTCAACCGCTGGCAGCAACTGTTCTTTCTTTCTTTCTTTCTTTTTCTTTCTTTCTTTCTTTCTTTCTTTCTTTCTTTCTTTCTTTCTTTCTTTCTCCTTTCTTTCTCCCTTTCTTTCTTTCTTTCTTTCTTTCTTTCTTTCTTTCTTTCTTTCTTTCTTTCTTTCTTTCTTTCTTTCTTTCTTTCTTTCTTTCTTTCTTTCTTTCTTTCTTTCTTTCTTTCTTTCTTTCTTTCTTTCTTTTTTGAAGATTTATTTATTTGAAAGAGTTACACAGAGAGAAGGAGAGAGGAGAGGTAGAGAGGTCTTCCATCTGCTGGTTCACTCCCCAATTGGCCACTACAGCTGGAGCTGCACTGATATGAAGCCAGGAGCCAGGAGCTTCTTCCTGGTCTCCCACAGAGAGCTGGGTCGGAAGTGGAGCAGCTGGGACTCAAACTGACGCCTACTTGGGATGCCAGCACTGCAGGCAGCAGCTTTACCTGCTACGCCACAGTGCCGGCCCCAACTGTTCTACTTTTTAAAAACTATTTATTAATTTTTAAAGTCTTATTTATTTGAAAGGCAGTTTTACAGAGAGGGGTTGGGGAAGAGTTCTTTCATTTGCTGGTTCACTCCCCAGATGGCTGCAATGGCCAGGGCTGGGCCAGGTTGAAGCCAGGAGCCTGGCACTCCATCTGGGTCTCCCATGTGGGTGGTAGAAGCCAAATACTTGGGCCATTCTGCAGCTCTCCCAGGCTCAGTATCAGGGAACTGGATCAGAAGCAGAGCAGCCAGGACTCCAACCAGTGCTCATATGAGATGCCGGCATTGCAGGAGGCCACGCGACCTGTTGTGCCACAATGTGGGTCCCTCTCCTTTCTGACTGAATTTTACTAAGTTAGTAACTTCATGTAAGTGGAATCATATTTGTCCTTGTGCGGCTGAATTAATTCGCTCAGCATGTAATGAAGGTTTACCCTGTTATAGAATATATTGGACCTTCATTCTTGTGGTTGAGTAATAGTCCATTGCATGTATATACCACATTTTATTTATGTATTCATCTGTTGATAGACCCTTAGGTTATGCCTGCCTGTTTACTATTGTGAATAATGATGCTGTGAATATTGATATACAAGTATCTGATTCTTTTTTTTACCAATTCGCTTGGGGATATGGCTAAGAGTGGAGTAGATAGAGCACACGGCAATTCACTTAGCATTCCGAGGCACTCCAAACCATTTTCCATAGTGGCCGCACCATTTGACCTCCCCAACAGCAATGGCTCACTCCCCACATGCCTGCTGGGGTTGGGCCAGCACTAAACTTGGAAGCCCGGAACTCAAAGTACTTGAGCTTTTACCACTGCCTTCCAGGGTCCACACAGGGAGCACATTAAACAGGAAGCTAGAGTCAGGAGCCAGAGCTGGGTAGTGAACCGGGTGCCCCAAGGTGGGATGCAAGTGTCTTAACTGCTGGCTTAGACGCCCCGTGAATGGTGTTAAAATGCAAATGAGTGAGAAAAAACCTCAAATACTTTTTCAAAGTGCAACCGTCAGGCAGGAAGACAGACATTAACCTATGTGTGTGAGAAGTAAAAAACGTGGCTAAGTAAGGGAAGGGGCTTAGATGTTTGGAAACATCTGGAAAGCAACTGATGTTTGCTGATTAAAGATGCCGCCAGGTACCATCATGAGCGGTCTGTGGTGGTCCCTTGCTTGGGACCCTTACTGCCAGGTAACCCAATACCCCAAGGGGATCCTGTACCCGAGTTTTCTCCCCAGTAACACTTCAGAGGAGAGAGGCAGGAGGGAAAGTGTCAGGAAGTTCAGCGGCACCCATGAGCCCCCAGCTAAATGCAGATGGGTTTTCTGCCGAGCTGCCCACCTGATGTCAGATGGACAATAAACCTCACTAGCGTGCTTGTCACCAGCCTGTCTCTCATCTGCACTTTTCCTCTTATGTGGAGTTCTGGCCTAACTGGTGACACTTGGCACTTGCCCTGTCTCCCTGTCGGCCAGCGGCTTCCCACGTCCATCTGCCTCAGGGTAACTCCCTCTCAGGCCCCTTTGGTGACACAGCCACAGCCTTCTTTGTGCTTAAGGAAGAAAAGCCGACTGGGGAAGCACCAAGCTTCAACTTCCAAGCCTTACCGGTGACAGGACCACTCTTACTTCCTCTACCTTTGTAGACAAAACACTTTACAACAAGAGTGAGATAATCAAAATCACGTAAGGCCACAGTTACTTTGCTCGCAGATCCCTGGGATCCTGTTTGAGGGGAGTTCTGAAAGGCCTGTGTCCAAGCAGCCCAGCATCCCCCAGCCCTGGAGATGTCGGAGGGTGGCTGCGTCCCGTTTCTCTTCTGACACGAGGAGAGAATTCAGGGATGAGACACAGGAAAAAAGTCAGCAGAGAAGCAAGTTTATTCACACGCAGACGGAGAGCAGCACGCTCGGGAGGGGCGCAGGCAGGCTCAAGAGCGAGCTGCACTCTCTGAGGTTCAGGGCCATCCCTGGGCACTGGAGTTGTGCACAGGGGTGGGTTTGGGGCAGAGCTTAACCAACCCTATAGAGGGCAGTTTCGGCAGGGCTTGTGTGCCACCCATTTCCCGGCCCAAGGGTCATGGCATCAGGTGCATCATGGAAATAGGTGGCTCAGCCATGGCAATTAAAATGACCTTACAAGGAGCTGAAGGCCACGGCAGGGACACAGCTGGCAGCCACGTTGTTTATTTTGTGGTGAAACCTTGGAAGCTGTGATTTTCCACCGCAAGGAAGTGGGGGTGGGGCTGCAGCACAGGCGGGGCTAGGTGACACTCCAGCTTTCATCTCCACATACTTCAATTAAGTTGTGTAGTTCTTCGCTTCCGGTATCTAGGATCTCTTCACCGGGTCTGTACTCCACGGCTATTTTACCACTTTCTGAAATAACAAAGTTAACAAGGCTCAATTCAGGTTTTTTTTGTTTTTGTTTTTGTTTTTTAAAGGTTTATTTATTTATTCGAAAAGCAATTACAGAGACAGGGAAATCAATCTTCCATCCGCTGGCCTAGTCCTCAAGTGGCTACAAAGGCCAGAGCTAAGCCAGGCTGAAACCAGGAGCCAGGAGCTTCATCTGGGTCTCCTACGTGGGTGGCAGGAGCCCAGGCACTTGGCCCATCCTCCACTACTTTTCTCAGGCCATTATCGGGGAACTGGCCCAGAAGTGGAGCAGGTAGGACACGAACTGGTGCCCATACAGGAAGCTGGCATCCCGGGTGGCAGTTTTACCCACTGTGTCATAATGCTGGCCCCTAAATCTTCCTGGGTACAATTGTAGCACTCAATGAGACACATTTTTGATTTATAAAAGCAGAAAGAGTATTTTCCTAGAAATTTCCTCACCTCACACTTCAGGCTTTTTTTTTTTTTAATGGTTTATTTATTTGAAAGTCAGAGTTACAGAGATATCTTCCATCTGCTGGTTCGCTCCCCAAGTGGTCGCAACAGCAGGACCAGGCCAGGCTGAAGCCAGGAGCTAGGAACTTCTTCCAGGTCTCCCACATGGGCGGCAGGGGCCCAAGCACTTGGGCCATCCTCTGCTGCTTTCCCAGGCTACGAGCAGGGAGCTGGATAGGAAGTGGAGCAGTCAGGACACAAACCGGTGCCCATATGGGATGCTGGAGTTGAAGGCAGCAGCCCCACTCACTATGCCACAATGCTGGCCTCCACACCAGTTTTAAACCTTTAAGGAATGCATGACATATCAATTATGCTTGGCTCAAAGCACTATGTGATCTTAGAGGTAGACACTAAGGAATAATTATATAGAAATTTTAAAATGTGGAAACAAAAATGTTCAATCACAATATGATTAAACAGTCAGATATCAGATGGGGGTCAAAGTGAATTCAAATCTGGGATAGAAGCCCTGGAACTAACACACTTCATATTACAAGCCAGAGGCAGTTGCGGACACCCTGGGAAGCAAACTTCCACCAGATACAATGAGCAAAGCTTTGGGGAGAGCATTTGAGCATTTCATTGGGTGATACTGGTTCACATACTTTATAGACAATACAACTCCCCTCAAAAGCAAGTTAGAGGGGCCAGCACTGTGGTGTAGTAGGTGAAGCCACCACCTGCAGTGCTGGCACTTACATGGGCGCCAGTTCAAGTCCTGGCTGCTCCACTTCCAATCCAGCTCTCTGCTGTGGCCTGGGAAAGCAGTAGAAGATGGCCCAAGTGCTTTGGCCCCTGCACCCACATGGGAGACCCAGAAGAAGGTCCTGGCTCCTGGCTTTGGATCAGTGCAGCTCTGGCTGTTGCAGCCATTTGGGGAGTGAACCAGTAGATGGAAGACCTTTCTCTCACTCGCTCTGCCTCTGCCTCTCTGTAACTCTGCATTTTGAATAATAAATTTTTTTTTTTCTCTAAGGAGTGCTGAGTGTACAGTGTATTCAAGGCATACCATAGCCTATTAAGGAGAGATAAACAACCTAGACTTTTGGTTCTTTTGGTTTTAATGAGAGTAAGTTTAAGAAATGGTTATCTGTAATCTTTAAAAGCATGTACTGAAAATAAGTTTTTTTTCTTCTTTTGAAAGTAAGTCTTAATTTCAGACTTTTATTGTACTGCACTAAAGGCACTGCAGGATGGCTGAAGCCACGAACTTGTACTCCATCTGGTTCTCCCATATAGATGGCAGGGGCCCAAGCACTTGGGACATCAACTGCTTTCCCAGGTGTACTGACAGGAAGCTGGATAGGAAGCAGCAGCAGCAGGGACTCGAACTGGCACTCCCAGTATGCTGGAGTCACAAGTGGTGGCTTAACCTGCTGAGCCCCAGATGTACACTTTTAGTTCATCAGAAGCACCTTATAGCTACAGCTAATTTATAATTAGAAGGCATTTCAATAAAACCAAAATAAGCCCTAGAAGTTCCTATAAAGAAAAGCTCCCAGTGGACTAAGGCCAGTCAGTAATCGATGCAATCATTCAGAGGATTAGGGCTGTCCCTTAGAGTCCAAGTTCAAACCTGTCAGCACCAGGGGTAATGTTATGTTATTTCATATGTAATTCCATTTAAATTCTTTATCTGAGTGTAACATTTGTAAACAGCCTTTCCAGAAGTCAAAAACATGGCACTATTTAAAAAATAAGAGGTCATTTTTAAAAGTGAATGGTCAGCTTCTGTAGCCTACTCTTGCTGGAAGGAATCCCTTCATGTGGTGGTTTACCGCATGGCCTTCTGCATACACTTAACTGGACCAATCTTTCCATGTGTTATTCTAAGAGCTCACAGAGCGCAGCTCATGCAGTTCAGGGAGTTAAAAAAAATGCTATAAAAAGCTACTGTGCACCATGCTTCTTTCTGACAATGTGTGAGGACATTAGGATATCTGCATTTGTGATGGCTGTGGGGCCACAGAGTCCCGGCCCACTCATCACTGGTCTACTCGTACACCTCCAGATGTGGGATGCCAAGAGGGGCACGCAGAGACCAGCAGCGCAGGCCACTCTGTTGCACCAAGTAGCACGATGCAGAAGCACAGCTCCATGAGCTGCTCTGGAAGTACAAGAGGGTTCAGGGAGTGCACTGCTTCGCAGGATTCTTGCAGTCTTCAGCTCGCCACACGCGGCCAAGTGCCGGAAGGCCAAGAAGAGGAGCGTGGCAATGAGCCGCAGCACCAGTGCGGAGCAGGAGGTCACAGTCACGAAGGCCACTGCCAGGCAGGAGGAGCGGGGAGCAGTGTCAGTGCCAGTGGAGGCGCAGAGCCCTCTAGGTAAACCCTTCACCGTCCCAGGCCTCAAATATGACCGCTGCTGCCACTGTCACCTCCGTTTGGTTCTTAAAGGTTGTTACAGTGATGGGAATTCTCCCTGACGACAGGGAGGCCAGACTTCTCCTGGAAGGGCTGTCCTGACTGGAGGTTTAGGCCAATCAGGGCCACCTCTGATAACTTGGGATTTAAGAGATTCAGAGGAAGAGAGGAAGGGGGAGAATCTCTGATAACTTAGCAAGGACTTCTGTATCTGTAAGCCTTAGGACTGTGAAGCATGAGAGCAATCCTATTCAGGGACTCTGCGAAAATATCAAGTTTCTACTGGGTACAGCCTACAACATGCACACCGCGGTAGAACCCAACAGGGATCGCAGTCAATGGCATTCAACAGCAGGACCACGTGCACGGCTCACATGAAAGCAGCTGATTAGAACTATACTTGCCCAGTGTCCAGGTCACAAATGAAGACTGAAACTGAATTCTTGATTCAGAGAACAGAATCTAATAAATTCTCTCCTCAGCAGAGTTTATTTATCTATTAATTCAGAGAGAAAGCAACAGGAGAGTGAGAGCTCACACATACTATCAGCTTACCACGCAGCCATAGTTACAAGCTGTTTTACTCATCGTCTCATTACTCCTGCAACATCCTTCAGAGGGTGGGCTGAATTGCTAACCCTGTTTTACAGATAAAAGAGATTATACTTACAGAGATTAGATATCTTCAGATCTCTCTGGGACAAAACTGAAAATTGCATAAAAAATCCCAGAGGCAGAGTTAGGACGCATACGCTGGTGTCCGAAGCTTACAGTGACTATTCTGTAAGTGACCAGGAAACCAGAGCTGGATCAGACGCGTTCAGTGTGAGCTGAGGCGAACTGTTCTACATTTATAAACTGGGGGCAACAATAGCTGCGGTCGTTTTTCTCACAAATGTCACAAAGAACTAATTTAAGACCACTGCTGTGAAAGAATCCAGTAAGTAAGAATGTAACAGAGTGTTTCAGATAGTATTTTCACCCAATCAACTTTTCAAGATGAGTTTTTTGTTCATTGAAACTGGAGCACTTTGAGGACAATCAAGAAAGTCTTACCTAAAACCACAATCGACAGTTTCTGGAACGCATTTGACAAAGCCTTCTGAATGGCAAGGTTCTGGGCTGTCTTCTTCTTCATAAGGAACAACAATGGTCCTAGAGCCAACCAGAAGAAGTGGATCAGTGATAATTACTTCATGTTCAGAACACGCAGATGCACCCACGATTCTTAGCTCCTTATCTTAGTGCCCAGGGGCAGGCACAGCACAAAGGACGGGTGGACAGCTCTGTTCCAGGGACATCCTGTAGGGCCCAGGATCGCTCTTCCCATCTATTCCGGAAGTTCCTGGCGTACTGGAAGGGAGATCCGGGGAGATCAGGGTGGGACCTGGGCACCTGAGTCTCACATTACCCAGATTCCAATGTGACCAGTTGAAGCCAGGCCTGCACAGACCCTACCTGACTGTGTGACAAAGACTCAAAGCACACACGGAGGTGCTCCTTGGGTATCGCCCTGGGAGCCTGCTCTACCCTATTTGCTAATATCCTTGCCTCTCTCTGACTTAAAACCCCCAAGACCAGGGCCATGAATTCTTTTTTTTTTTTTTTTTTTTTTTTTTTATTTATTTGAAAGTCAGAATTACATAGAGAGAATCTGCTGGTTCACTCCCCAACTAGCCACAAGGGCTGGAGATGCACTGATCTGAAGCCAGGAGTCAGGAGCTTCCTCCAGGTCTCCCATGCGGTACAGGGGCCCAAGAACTTGGGCCATGTTCTACTGCTTTCCCAGGCCACAGCAGAGCTGGGTCAGAAGTGGAGCAGTGGGGCCAGCGCTGTGGCACAGCAGGTTAATGCCCTGGCCTGAAGCGCTGGCATCCCATATAGGCGCTGGTTCAAGTCCTGGGTGCTCCTCTTCAGATCCAGCTCTCTGCTATGGCCTGGGAAAGCAGAAGATGGCCCAAGTCCTTGGGCCTCTGCACCCCTGTGAGAGACCTGGAAGAAGCTCCTGGCTCCTGGCTTCGGCTCAGCGCAGCTCTGCCTATTGCAGCCATCTGGGGAGTGAACCAATGGATGGAAGACCTCTCTCTGTAACTCTGTATTTTAAATAAATAAAATAAATCTTTTTTAAAATTTTTTTTCTTTTTTTTTTGGACAGAGTTAGACAGTGAGAGAGAGAGAGAGAGACAAAGGTCTTCCTTCCGTTGGTTCACCCCCGAAATGGCCGCTACAGCTGGTGTGCTGCGCTGATCCGAAGCCAGGAGCCAGGTGCTTCCTCCTGGTCTCCCATGTGGGTACAGGGCCCAAGCACTTGGGCCACCCTCCACTGCACTCCCGGACCACAGCAGAGATTTGGACTGGAAGAGGAGCAACCGGGACAGAATCTGACGCCCCAACCGAGACTAGAACCCGGGGTGCTGGTGCCACAGGCGGAGGATTAGCCTAGTGAGCTGTGGCACTGGCCCTATAAAATAAATCTTAAAAAAAAAAAAAAAAAAAAAGAGAGAGAGAGAGAGAAGTGGAGCAGCCAGGACTCGAAATGGCACCCATATGGGATGCCAGCACTGTAGGCGGTGGCTTTTACCCGCTATACCACAGCGCCGCCCTTGGGGGCCATGGAGTCTAAAACAAAATCAGTATCAATGGGAAGACCCTTTCTAGGTACACAAATTTGACTCTTCCTATGCATGCCCCTCCAAGAATAGACAAAGAGCTGAGTGTTTATACAAGAGCTTAAGGGGTCAAGGGTCAGTTGGAAAGATGGCAGCGGTGCTGACCTTCCGCCAGCTGGTGCTCTTGCCCCGGGGCGCACGGGGGCTCGGGTGCAAGTCTCGAGCACAGGAGAGAAGGTCACGCACACCGGCCAGGTTTACGATGACAAAGACTACAGGAGAGTTCGGTTTGTCGGCCGTCAAAAGGAGGTGAACGAGAACTCTGCCGTGGACCTGATAGCGGAGCAGCCCGTGAGTAGTGTGGAGAGCCGCGTGATCTCCCGTGACGGCGGGGCGGGGCCCTCGGCCACCCGAAGGTCTACATCAACCTGGACAAAGACACGAAGACCGGGACACGCGGCTACTGCGGCTGCAGTTCCGACAGCACCGGCACTAGGCGGAAGCTGGGCTGCAGCAGCGGGTCGTGTCCGTCTGAATAAAGCTGCTGCTGTCGTCCACCAAAAAAAAAAAAAAAAGAAAAAGAAAGAAAGACAGACAAAAGAAAGAAAGGAAAAAAAAGAGCTTAAGCAAATTCTTAACCAAAAACTTGAAAATATTATTTCCTATCTCTCCCTAAGCTTCCTGGCATGTGGTCAGCTCAGGAATTAGTTTAAAGCTCGGTGAGGTACTACACAAGGCAAAAACCTGCCTGGGACTTCAGGAGGGAGGGCCTGACATGGATCTAAAAAGGTGCATCTTTTAGAAAAGACTGATTTACTCAGTAAGAGACAGACGGACACACACACAGGCACAGTGAGAGAGACGGGGACACACACACACGATCTTTCATCAGCTGGCTCACTCCTCAAATGTCTGCACAGCCAGGTGTAGGCCAGGCTGAAGCCAGAGGCAGGAATCCCATCCAGTCTTCCAGCAGGGCGGCAGGGCCCAGGCACTCGGGCACATTAGCGGGCGCTGGACGGAAGCAGAGCATCTGAGACTCAAAGCAGCGCTCTGATAGGGGATGCTGGTGTCACGAGTTGCACTGTGCCACAGGCTAGCCCCGAAGGTGAGTTTCAGGAAGAGAAGACATTCCCTCCACACAGGGAGAGCAGACCTTCCTCCTGCAGCGTATCCAGGGGCTCCTCGGCCACGCCGACCCCACGACTCGAGCACTCGTAGGATGGCAGCACCACCTCCAAGGCACAGAAGACCTTCAGGCTCCGCTCCGCAAGCCGCCGCGCGGTCTCTTCATTTTCCCTCTCTTCAAGGGCGGAGAGCTCCTGCAGCTGTCAGAATTTTACATGAGAGGCGCTTCCCAGGATCATGTTAACTTCAGCATTTATGGTGGTCAGAGATAAGAAGTAAACTCCAGTTAACAGAACAGTTGAGGTGTCCTAATGATGCAGCTAGACAGGCAGCTCGGGAGGGGAGGGGAGGGGGGGAGTCGGAGGCGTCTGCCAGCCATGCCCACACGCAGTTCCGTTCACCCACCTGTCAGTCAAAACCCCCTTTCCCGGGACCTGCGGAGAAGATGCCATGAAACCGTGGATACTGAGCTCCCTGTAGAACTTGTGGAGGCGCCACGGAAGTCCTAGGCAGGCTCACGCCTGCAGAGGCACCACCCCGAGCTCATAAAGGAGACCAACAACTGGGAGGGGGTTTTTCTTCAGCCCCAGACTACAGCCGGAGGGGCTGCCAGGTGTTCTGTCTCCTCTCCCCCACCCCTTCTCCTTTTGGGCAAATCTTCAGGCCCACTTCCATCGCCCACTCATACGGGTATTTCTCTGTGTGGAGAAACCCCTGCTCACGTGTGTGTGTGTGTGTGTGTGTGTGTGTGTTCGCTTTTTCACCTTTTACATAAATCACGTACGTGGTGCACCTGATTTGTGTCAGCCTCTAGAATGCGTATCTCAGCGCATGACAAGGACCTGGAGTAAAACAATCATGCCCCTCACCCACACCACTACTGCTTCAAAATCAAGTAACATTCAGCACTGAATTACTAGACACAGACAACCATTTTTACTACACATCACATGAATTACGAAACACCAGGCCACGTGATCGGGACTGCAGTTAATCCTAGGTGGCAGGCCAGCTCAAACACAAACACAGCCAGCTGCCCTAACGGCGGACGGCATCGCAGGCCTCCTCCCACCTCACGGTTCAGTCCTCCTGGTTAAAGTCCAGGACTACAACGTGGAAGCAGGTGTGCTTAGTCAAAAGAAAACCTACGGTGCTTACCTTGATGATCCTTTTTGACCACCCATTGAAACCCAAGTAGTAGTTTGCCAGCTCTTGGCATCGGGAGCCATTTAGGGCGAGGGCCTGATGTTGAACTGCCTTATGTCTGGTGCCAAGACGAACCTAAAGCCGCAACAGACCCACAAACGTCACACTCTGCCCAAGATTTCATTTTGGATATACCTGAGATTTATCAATGCTGGTTTCATAGCGTGCTTTTTTTTTTTTTTTTCCGACAGAGTTAGACCGAGAGAGAGAGAGAGAGAGAGAGAGAGAGAGAGAGAGAAAGAAAGGTCTCCCTTCTGTTGGTTCACCCTCCAAATAGCCGCCACGGCCGGTATGCTGCACCAATCTGAAGCCAGGAGCCAGGTGCTTCTCCTGGTCTCCCATGGGGTGCAGGGCCCAAGCACTCGGGCCATCCTCCACTGCACTCCTGGGCCACAGCAGAGAGCTGGCCTGGAAGAGGGGCAACCGGGACAGAATCCAGTGCCCCAACTGGGACTAGAACCCGGGGTGCTGGCGCCGCTGGCGGAGGATTAGCCAAGTGAGCCACGGAGCCGGCCTCATAGAGTGTTTATGAAGATTAAATGGGCTAGAAACATTTTAAGCACTACATTCATCGTAATCCCTAAATAAATGTTATTATTTTAAGTCACAGTACTTTTTCTGCATCATTTTCAGGGACCCTAAAAAACGGGAAACTTCCCTGACCTCTGGTGGTGAACATGGATGATGAAAACAACTACGGGAGCCCTGCAGAAGGAGATGATAGGGCTGTGGGTGAGCCAAGAAGCAAAGCGGCACCTGTCTCCCCAGCCAGGGCCCCTGCTTGGGAATGTGGCAGAAAGAACTGACCCCTCTCCCAAGGCACTAACCTCTGTGACTGGTATAAGCAACTAGAACAATTAGAGGCTCATCTGCATAACACGCTTCTTTGGCAAGTGAGTGCTCATTCTATTTGACACTTTACTATGGATTTCATACATCACTAGTTCTGTTTTAAAAGTCTTTCATGTTTAAAAACTATAGCATATGAATACAAGGTGTTGTCAAAGAGTTCATGGATAATGGAATTAAAAGACAACAATAAAAAATATAAACTACTGGCGTGAGGTAAGCAGAGCCGGAGACAAGAGGGCAGACTCGGGATCTGACGAGGTGGCCGGACCATCTCGCAGGGTCATCAAGGACACCCAGCCACGCTGGCAGAACCAGGTGAGAGCAACTCCTGCTATTTTTATGTGGTCATCGCTGGCCCCCAGGACCCCAGGAACTTTTAAACCTGAACAGTTCCTCCCGGAACTGGGAACAGGAACAGGGCAGCCCCTGAAGTAGGCTCCACGCCCAGCATTTACCCTCCTGCTGTAGACAAGCTGGGACAATGACGCTCGGGCATTCTTTTTTTTTTTTTTTTTTTGACAGGCAGAGTGGACAGTGAGAGAGAGAGACAGAGAGAAAGGTCTTCCTTTTGCCGTTGGTTCACCCTCCAATGGCCGCCGCGGCCAGCGCACCGTGCTGATCCGATGGCAGGAGCCAGGAGCCAGGTGCTTTTCCTGGTCTCCCATGGGGAGCAGGGCCCAAGCACCTGGGCCATCCTCCACTGCACTCCCTGGCCACAGCAGAGGGCTGGCCTGAAAGAGGGGCAACCGGGACAGAATCCGGCGCCCCGACCGGGACTAGAACCCGGTGTGCTGGCGCCGCTAGGCGGAGGATTAGCCTAGTGAGCCGCGGCGCCGGCCGACGCTCGGGCATTCTGAAGAGTAAGAGGTTCCTAGCACTGCAGGGTCACAGCTCTGCCATGGGTCCAGGCTTTGTGACGTGCTCCCAATCCAGATGACCCATCAGCAAATGACACGGCCGAGCAGCGGAAGGCCAACGAAGCCACGCCATGGAACTGCTAGAACAAGGACTAGGATTCATGCCGTGAATTACTTAAATCAACGTGATCAAGTGTGCGTCACTTCTCCTGGTCTTTTGAGACTTCTTCCTTTTTCTGTTTGCATTTAGTGGGCACAGTTTAGAAGCACTGCAGAATCAAAGCCCAGGCACCTGCAGTCCTTTGGCGATGAACTGCACAGGAGCGAGTCTCTGTTTTGTCCCAGTTCACTGTTACAAAGCGCGAGAGCGCTAAAACCACCCGGATTGCGGCGGGGCCGCTCTGCTTCCACTCATCCCCCACTGCGGTTTAGGCAGAAGGCCCTGGACGGAGGGCAGCTGTCAGAGCTCCCTGCAGGGGCTTGGGCATTTACTTTTCTCTGAAGGGGAAGGTAAGCTTAATTTTATGAGCTCCTTTTCCCCCTTTCCATGGTGATTTAATTGCACTGGTTAAAAGCCGCTAACCGGCTGGTACAGCGGCTCACTAGGCTAATCCTCCGCCTACGGCACCGGCACCCCAGATTCTAGTCCCGGTTGGGGCGCTGGATTCTGTCCTGGTTGCCCCTCTTCCAGGCCAGCTCTCTGCTGTGGCCCGGGAGTGCAGTGGAGGATGGCCCAAGTGCTTGGGCCCTGCACCCCATGGGAGACCAAGAGAAGCATCTGGCTCCTGCCATGGGATCAGCGTGGTGCGCCGGCCACAGCACACCAGCCACGGCGGCCATTGGAGGGTGAACCAATGGCAAAAGGAAGGAAGACCTTTCTCTCTGTCCACTCTGCCTGTCAAAAAAAAAAAAAAAAAAAAAAAAAAAAAATCTTTCATCTGCTGGTTTACTCCGCAAATGGCTAGAACAGAGCCAGGAACCAGGAGCTTCTTTTGGGTCTCCACAGTGCAGGGGCCCAAACAGTTGGCCATCTTCTGTTGCTTTCGCAGGCATATCAGCAAGGAGTTGGACTGGAAGTAGAGCAGCTGAAAATCAAACCAGCACCCATATGGGATGCCAGCATCCAAGGTGGTAGCTTTATCTGATACACTGCAATGCTGGCCCCGGTTTAAAAAAATTAAATCAATAGTTATCACATTTTTTCATAACAGGCATTTTCCACGAACTTTTTGAAGACCCTCATATAGTCACAAAAATTCAAGAAGTACAAGAGAGGCAAAGCATCATTCATTCTCCACAGACTTGTTTATGGATCCTCTCCTTCACTAGTTTACAAGCTCCTCAGTACCCAAGGGAACCACAGCTTATTCTTTTCTCATTCTTAGAACCCGGCACAGTTCTCGGCATGTAAGGAGCACTGATGGTCTGCGAGTGAGTGAATGAGCAAATTAAAAACTAAAATTCCTTTCTCCAATGGCAACTGGGAAGGAGACACGGAGGCTACTCGTCAGTGCTGAGTGCGCCGGGGGAGGCCGCCCCGCCCCCGGGTCACAGTGGGGCTTCTCTGGACAGGAAGCCTCAGGACTCTGGGGCCCTGGCTGCAGACAGCTCACGCCTTGACTAACCTGACCACATTCTTGCCAGCAACCATCTTCCTTCATGACACTGGAAAAAGAACTCTTTTAGGCACCTTCGGCCTTTTCATGATTTTAAAACGTTATTCTCTTTTCTGTATTTGTAAAGGGCAAAACAGATAAGAACTATGTGTATTTGCTAAAAGTAAAAGAACATGTATAATTAACTAGATAAGGAATTTGGGGGAGTGGCTGGTGCTGTGCCACAGTGGGTTAAAGCCCTGGCCTGCAGTGCCCCCATCCCATATGGGTGCCAGTTCGAGTCCTGGCTGCTCCACTTCTGATCCAGCTCTTTGCAGTGGCCTGGGAAAGCAGTGGAGGATGGCCCAAGTCCCTGGGCCCCTGCACCCACGTGGAAGACTCGGAGAAAGCTGATGGCTTCAGCATGGCCCAGCCCTGGCTGTCACGGCCAATTGGGGAGTGAACCAGCGGATGGAAGATTTCTCTTTCTCTCTGTGAGTCTACCTTTCGAATAAATAAATAAATATTTTAAACAAACACACACCCTGTGGCACAGTGGGTTAAGCCACACTGGAGATGCTGGTATCCCACACCTGAGGGCCGGTTCCAGTCCTGCTGCTCAGCTTCTGATCCAGCTCCCTGCTAATGTGCCAGGGAAGGCAGTGGACGATGGCTCAAGCACCTGGGCCCCTGCCACCTGCATGGGAGACCCGGATGGAGTTCTGAGCTCCCAGCTTCCGCCTGGCCCAGACCCTGCTGTTGCAGGTATTTGGGGAGTGAACCAGTGTTTGGAAGATCTGTCTCTCCTTTCAAAAAAAATCTTAGACAACCAGCGACCACAGGCTCAGCGCAGCAGTGCACCCGAGAGCATTCTGTCCGCCAGAGAGCCGACAGATGCTACCCCGTTCTCACGGAATTCCTTCTCCACCCACGGAGCCTGGGATTCCACGTTCGGACCCACCTTCACTGGAGTCTCCTGGAAAAGCAGCTTCCGGTCACAGGCCGCCTGGGCTCTGCGCGCGTCCCTCGCGGAATAGAACTTGATGATGGCATAGAAACCAGGACCGGCCACGGCGGCGTTTGGGAAGACCCGCACTGAATACAGAAGGCCGAACCGGGAGAACGCTGCGAAGAGAGAGCGCTGTGCGTGGCCCCGCGCCGAGTAAGCCCCAGCAGGACCCTGACGCCCCCCACCCAGGGCTGCGCCTCCCGCCTGCCTCCGCCCTGCTCCTCCCAGGAGCCTTCTCATTTCGTGAACGCACTTTCTTCCTACAGCCTGAGCCCCGAGAAGCACCTGCAGACGCCGCGGGCCGGCTGTGCAGAGGCCCCTCTCGGGGTCTCCGCTGGGGCCAGGCGGCTGTCTCCGCCGCACCCTCCACCCCGGCCCGCGCTCACTTGTAAGTCCTCGGCCGAGGGGCCGCAGCTCAGCTCCCACACCAGCAAGGTTTTGTCGCTCTCAGTGGGAACCGCAAAGGGTACCACCTCCGCCATCCTCGCGGCTCCGCTCTGGCGCCAGCCGTACTGCGCCTGCGCACGGCCTGCCCGCGCGTTTCGAAGAGCGCCGCGTCCGAGGGGCGGGGCCGACGCTGCGTCCGCTCGGGGTGCGTGCGGTGCCGGGCGGCGGCGGGCGGTGTCCGGCGGTGTCCGGCGTCCGTTCCTTTCCTAGCCCGGCGGACAGGTTTCAGCGCTTCTGTTCCAGGGCGTTTTAGGTTAGAGCCCCCCACGCGTGGGCGTACACGACGGAAGGGTCGCACCTGTTCATGGCAGCCCCCTTCATCTCCACGCGCTAAGGAGAGCAGGTGGTTAGCGCTAAGTCACTAAGCCACCGACAGCCTAGCGGGAAATCCTTACAAAGAAATCCCTGGGGGGCCCTAGGTGATTCTGACGAGCTGTGGGTGCTTGTGCGGGCCGGCCGGCGTGGGTTGGGGGGTAGAGTGAGGGGAAACATTTGCAGGGAAATCAGGATGGGTCCAAACAGGGCACCCACGTGGGCGCTGGTGGTGCCCGAGAAGGGTCTTCCGGGGGTCGTGATCGACCACCCCGCGGGGTAACACTGAGCAGGAAAGTGGGTCCCAAGGCCTGTTTCAGTCCTGGACTGTCAGAGCCAGAAGGGGGCCTGAAGAATGTGGTTTCTGGATAGTAATTCTCAGACCCGTCCTGATCTCTGAGGAGGTTTCCACCTGTCCTCAGTGTGTGAATCACGAACAAGGGTGGCCAGACCGACTCCATTTTCAAATGAAAAGGAGCAGCTGTGGTTCAGCCAGATGACGCCAGTGAAGGACTTAACGATTGAACACACAAGCCCAACACTGGGTGCAGTGGGTTAATGCCCTGGCCTGAAGCGCCGGCATCCCATATGGGCGCCGGTTCGAGGCCCGGCTGCTCCACTTCCTATCCAGCTCTCTGCTATGGTCTGGGAAAGCAGTAGAAGATGGCCCAAGTCCTTGGGCCCCTGCACCCACGTGGGAGACCCAGAGGAAGCTCCTAGCTCTTGGCTTCAGATCGACTCAGCTCTGGCCATTGCGGCCATTTGGGGAGTGAACCAGCGGATGGAAGACTCTCTCTCTGTGCATCTCTCTCTGTAACTCTTTCAAATAAATAAATAAATCTTTTAAAAAATTGATCACACAGAACCAGGGCTCAGTTCCAAGGCCTCCCTATGGGCGGTAACTGGCGCAGAGACGCATGGACTTATGGATAAGTAGGCAACTCCACCCAAAATGGCCTACAAAAGACGACTTTTCACCTTGGGGCTCGCTCCCCCAGCTGCCTGCGATGGCCGAGGATGAGCTAGGCAGGGGCCAGGAGCCTGGCCAAGCTGAGTCTCTCCCGTGGGTGGCCGGGATCCATGTTCTCGAGCGGTCTTGCAGCCTCCCAGGGTGTGCGTTGGCAGGAAGCTGGAATCAGCAGAGCCAGGACTTGAACCCAGGCCCCCAGTGTGGGGCATAGGCAATGGGCATCACAAGCAATTTTTTTTTTTTTTTTTTTGACAGGCAGAGTTAGACAATAAGAGAGACAGAGAGAAAGTCTTCGTGTTGGTTCACCTCCCAAATGGCCGATCTGAAGCCAGGAGCCAGTTGCTTCCTCCTGGTCTCCCATGCGGGTGCAGGGCCCAAGCACTTGGGCCATCCTCCACTTCCCTCCCGGGCCACAGCAGAGAGCTGGACTGGAAGAGGAGCAACCGGGACAGAATCGGCGCCCAACCGGGACTAGAACTCCAGGTGCCGGCACTGCAGGTGGAGGATTAGCCTAGTGAGCCGTGGCGCCTGCCATAAGCAATGTCTTAACTGCTGAGGCCAAATGCCCAGCCCAGGTTTAACTTCTTTTGACATTTTGTTGGCCTGCGAAATCCAAGTTGGAGAGCCACTGAGTTGTCCAGTCCGTCATCTTACGGTTGAGGTGGAGGCGTGAGTGGTAACCAGTCAACAAGTCAGACCCTACTGATGGTGGCTGTGTGCACTTTTTGTCTTTGCCTGGTCCATAAGCAGGCTCTACTCCAAATCAGCACCCCAAACACCCAGATCCTATCCAGAGGAGCCTTTTTCATCATCTAGATTCTGGCCCATTCTCCCAAAGCAAGCAAAAAGCATTGGCACCTGGCCCATTTCTGCAACCCCTCTACACACTTTCTTCACCTCAATACCAGACCCTCAGCCCCACCCATTCCCCACTTCTGAGCGTTCCCTTATTTAAAAAAAAAAAAGTTGTTGTTGGAGGCATTGGCTCCCAAATCTGTTTCACAGCCATAGTAGTAGACTTCGGTCCCCGCTGTAGGGTTTGTGGACGCCTCTGCCTCCCACCTGGACTAGGGGCACCCCAAGAGCAACAGTTAGGCTTCACCTTCCTTTCCTAGCACCCAGCACACTCCTCCTGTACTAGGTGCTCAGGCTCATGTGGAATTAATAATGAAAATATTAACACACTCTGCACAAGAAATGTTTTAATAAACCACAAACAGAAATCTCTTTATCACGGTCCTCTTGGTTTGCAAATGACAGACAGGAACCAGGGGACCGGGGCCTGGATGGAGCCCGGAGGAAGCCCGAGACAACCGTTTATTGCTGGGGCTCTGGGCAGTGTTTCTTGTAAATGGAAGGAAAGAGAAGACTATGAAGTGGAGGCCAGAGGGGAAGACGTAAAGGATCCCCAGGCGAGGACCGGAGTCCTGGGACAGCTCCCCCGTGGGTCCCCCTGCTTCATCCCAGGCGGCATCCTGTCATCCAGTAGGAGAGTGGCCGGCCTGCGCAGTGCAGCCTCCATTCTACCCTGCAGAGAAGAAGCACCTGGTTCTCACTCATTGCTTAGGAGCGTCTCCGCACACACGGTCCCGTTCTTAACCATCTGCCTTCCGCAGAGCAACTCCCAGACTCGCCCAGTGCTCGCCCTGGGGTCCGTGGGGCCCGTGGTTTTGCCTTTCAGTTGCCCTCCTCTCTGGTATTTGCCTCTTCTCCTGCACTCTGTATCCCTGTGAAGGGGGCGGGCGCTGTTGGACAGAGCTGGGAGTTCCTTGGGCAACCATTGACTCCCCCTCCAGGAAAGTTCAGCCCTAACAGCCTCCAGTGTCTCTTCTTTAAGGTGCTTTGAGTCAGAAAAGCACCTGCCTCCTCCCACTCTCACAGTCACCACAGTCACCTGTGGAGACAGCCATTTACACTATTCATACATACAGTTTGAAGCTCAGAAAAGTGGCCACCCCCTGTTGGTGAGCTGACAGCCCCACATTTTTAATAGAAAATACAGGTATTGCCAGTTATGGCGACAGCCCTTAGGGCAGCCATAATATTGCTTAACTCCTCCCATGCCTGCAGCTGATTGGATCCAAGAGGAACATGTGGTCTAAGATAAACCAATCAGACTCTCCATTTCAGGAAGTAGGCCTGGGACTAGCAATGCTGGTGGTTGCCTAAGGTCTTCAGCCTTAAACTTGGGGCACCTCGTACCTGGCTCGTGGACTAAAAGCACAGAAAGCAGATCTGTGGAGTAGTGCAGCAGATGCGCCATGAGAAGCTGAAGTCTGGGTGCAACGCTCCTGGCAGCCCCCAGCTCTGTTCCAGCCTCCCCCTGAGGCCCAGCCGCACCCCCAGGGCCGGCTCCGTGAGACAGCTCGTCTGCTCAGAACACATTTCCCTGGGCTCAAAGTGTTTTCTGGTAGTGCAACCAAAAGAGTTTCATCGAGGAAGCAGATACCCCAGGCCTTGTAACGGAGTTCCAAGTTTGACCTCCATCCTACACTTGTCTGGACGTCTGCCGAGGAGAGCCCATGAGTCTCCGCCCACGGCCGCTCCTTGGGGATTTGCCCACTAGCTTAGCCCCGCCACATCCTCTCACCAGTACTTCATGCCCCTTGACCCGGACACAATCTTCTTTGCGCAGCTGATGGAGGAGAGCAGGTTGGGGCTCAGCATGTCTGAAAGGGAGAAGAACACTTGTGAGTGTTCCCAGGGACTGGAAGCGAGTCCAACATTGGCCCTCCAAGCAAGGGTCTCTGCCGCCCAGCAAAGCCTCCCTCCCAGGGGCAACCCTACGACTGTGGCTGGAGCTCAGGGGGGGCTGGGACGGGGGGGAAGGAGGGGCAGAGAACTGAGATTGAACGTGTTTGGTGGCGTTCTTCCTAGCCAGGGCAGATGGTGGCCCACGCCACGTTGGAGGGGACGCTTCCGGGGGGAAGAAATGCCGAAACAGGAGCACAGAGGCCCAGGCGGAGTCCTGTGTGATCAGGGGGACTCTTAAGGCGGAGGAGCCCCGGGATGTTAGAGCGTGGAGGCCAGCGAGGGGCAGAGGCTCCTGGGTCCGCTCTGACAAGGGCAGTTTGCACTTGACCATTAGCTGGAGGCAGTACCACTCAATGGTTAGAGCTGAGCCTTCAAGACCATCTGTCTGACATTCAGTGCTAGTTCTCTCTCAGCCTCAGTGTGCTCATCTGTAAAGTGGGGGTCATCGTCTCTACTGCATGGATGGAATGAGCTATACCTGTAAGGAATGTCAGCTGCTGAGGTGTTCTACCAAGCCTGGCTGCTCAGAGCCTTTCTGGGTTCTGCTCAAGGCCTCTGCAGAATCTCCTACCTGGGTGGGCTTTTGGGCCTCTGCTTAGTGAGGGATCTCCTGATTCTAGGAGCCATGCCTGTTGGGGCACTCCCAGGCAGTGGTGGGGAGGGAAACCTGTGAGCAGAGCCTGCGCTCCCCTCACCCCCGGCCTGGGCCCTGGGCAGACCTTGACAGTCCTCATGGCCGTCCACTCCCCCAGCCTGGGCCCTGGGCAGACCTTGACAGTCCTCGGGCCGTCCACCCCCCCAGCCTGGGCCCTGGGCAGACCTTGGCCACTCCTCTCCATCCCCCCCCACCCAGCCTGGGCCCTGGGTAGACCTTGGCTGCTCCTCTCCATCCCCCGCCCCAGCCTGGGCCCTGGGCAGACCTTGGCCACTCCTCTCCGTCCCCCCGCCCCAGCCTGGGCCCTGGGCAGACCTTGGCAGTCCTCGTGGCAAAAGTTTTCTGTGTGGCTGTGATAATCATTGCACCAGAAGTGGCTGTTGATCTGGAAGATGCCGTAGTCAGAGCTGCCATCTGCATTTTCGTTCACCTTTGAAGTGTTGAACTTGCTTTCCACAAAAGCCAGGCACAGCCCTTAGGATGGGGAGGAGAGGGTCAGGCTCTCGTGGGGACCAAGCTCAGTGAGAACAGAGGTGGAGGAGAGAGGGAGGTGGGGAATCGGGACCAGGGAACCAGGCCCCAGGGGCTAAACGGGGCCAGAGGGCTAGTAGCGCCGTGGCCTTCTCTTGTCCCCCCATCCGCCCACCCACCCATGCCTTCGGCACTTTCTAAGCACCTACTATGTGCCAGGAACTGTGCAAAGCCCAGCGAGGGACATTCAGCTGGGCCACACACAGGTGCTGCCCTCCGAGAAGGAGACGTGCACCTTCAGAGACCACAAAGCGCGATGAGGGGAGAGAGTGCTGGGGGACCGTGTGCACACGTTCTGAGCCCAGGGGAGACAGGCCTTCCACGCAGCAGGAGGGAGGCTTGGCCCCGGCTGTTCCCTGCGCCTGGAATGTCCCTTCCCACACAGCGGGATGCCAAGGTCCCTCTTGCATCCAGCGCTACCCAGTGTCACTTCCTCAGGGAGGCCTTCCCTCGTGTGTCACCTGGAATGGCATCGCCTGGCACTCTCCTTGCTGTCTTTTTCCCCATGTGTGTCACCACCAGGCAGCTCTGTGTGTGTGTGTGCGTACACATGCATGTGCTAACTGTGGCTCGCTAATGCTGGAGTGTGAACACTGTGAGGGAAGGGACTCTAATAGGTCTGTAGCCCCAGCACCTGAAGCAGTTCCTGGTACATAGTAAGTGCTCAGTTAATAGGTGTTGAGTGACTGCCCGTGTTGGGAAAGGCTTCTTGGAGGAGTGGGAGAGAAAGACGGCCCCCCCGGGCACGCCCAGGCGAGGAGGGTGGCACTCACAGTCGCTCAGGGAGTAGCCCTCAAAGCCCTCCAGCTCCTGCTCGTGCAGCACCTTGGCCAGGTCACAGCGGTGGATGATGAAGGCCTGGTTCACCACCAGGAGGCAGCTGGCCCAGGAGAGGAGTAGCGGCCCCGCCATGCGCAGAGGGAGAAGGTGCGGCTGGCGGCTTCTGGGTCTCGGCTCACAGACGTCCCGCTGAGAGCCTGGGGGAGCTGGGGAGGCCGCATCCCTCGCTCACGCAGTGCTCACCCCTTGGCTCTTTCCACTCTCTCCTCTCTCACTTGTTATTTTGTGTATAGTTTTAATACAGAAAATTTTAGACATTTAGAGAGAATCATGAATCTCCCTGTACCCATTTCCCAGATTCAACAAGCAAACGCCAAGTCCTGTATAGTATCCTCAGTAGGTTCTCTTGCCACGGGCACTCAGCTCTGGGCAGCCTTTGGGTATGAGGCTGGGGAGTGAGGATGCCAAAGCAGGTGGTGAAAGCCATACTTTGCTGGCATCTGGAACTCGTGCCACACCGGGGCCAATCTTTTCCCAGCCCCAGGTCCTCAGATGTGTGGCCCTTGGCTCTCTCCGAAGGCAAGACCCCCCCCCCCCGGAGAATCTGGTGGGTTCCCTGGAGGTTCTCCTCTTTTGTTTCCATTCAGAAAGCAAGTAAGAGTGATCTAAGCCGGCGCCGTGGCTCAATAGGCTAATCCTCCACCTTGCGGCGCCGGCACACCGGGTTCTAGTCCCGGTTGGGGCGCCGGATTCTGTCCCGGTTGCCCCTCTTCCAGGCCAGCTCTCTGCTATGGCCAGGGAGTGCAGTGGAGGATGGCCCAGGTGCTTGGGCCCTGCACCCCATGGGAGACCAGGAAAAGCACCTGGCTCCTGGCTCCTGCCAGGATCAGCGCGGTGCGCCGGCTGCAGCGGCGGCCATTGGAGGGTGAACCAGCGGCAAAAGGAAGACCTTTCTCTCTGTCTCTCTCACTGTCCACTCTGCCTGTCAAAAAAAAAACCAAAAAAACACAGCCAGCAAGTAAGAGTGATCTGTTAAAAATAACCCAGGGGCAGGTGTGAAATAATAGGTTAGGCCACCACGTGCAACATCAGCATCCCATATGGTCGCTGGTTTGAGTCCCGGCTTCTCCACTTCTGATCCAACTCCCTGCTAATGCACCTGGGAAAGCAGCGGGAGTTGGCCCAAGTGCTTGGGCCCCTGCCACCCACAGGGGAGACCTGGATGAAGTTCCAGGCTCCTGGGTTCAGCCTGGCCCAGCTGTGGCTGTTGTAACCATTCAAGGAGTGAACCAACAGATGGAAGATCTCGCTCTCTCACTCTCTCTCTCTCTTTCTCTCTCTCCCTCCCCCCTCTCTCTTTTCTCTGTAACTGCCTTTTGAGTAAATAAATAAATCTTTTTTTTTTTTTAAGAGCCTTCACTTCTACCCAGTGTGTGTAGTGAAGATCAAGGGCTCTGGATTCACACTGCCAGCTCTCAAAGGCGGTGCTGCTGTGTGACCTTGGCCATCACACTTGACCTCTGTGTGCCTCATTTGTAAAAGGAAGGTTCGCTAATACCTGCCTAGCAGAGCTGGGGTCATGGAATGACACAAATGCCCAGATCCTGGTTTCACACTCCCCACAATAATGCACACTGGGAATATGACAGGTTCCTGGGCTCGAGCAGGAAGAGGCATGAGATACGTCTGGACTATCTTGTACCAGACAGTCAAGAAGTGCTCAAAATAGGGAGTGGCACATGTCCAATGGACCTGAGAGCCAGCTCCGAGGGATGCCCAGTGGCCGGCCTGGGAGCAATATTTTTGGTCAGTTTTTTGGAGTCGTGCTGTGCAAAGCTTACATTCGGAAGTCATCTGTCCCCCAGAGTGTCCTGTGCTGTGTTTGAGGGTGCCCGTTTCTTCACGTCTTTGCCAGCACTGCTGTTACCTGTTTTTTATGATCGGAGCTTTCCTAATGGGTGCCAAGTGCTGCCACCTGGTGGCTTGGCTTTGCATTTCCCTCATGCCTTCCAGTGGCTCATCTTTGAGGTGCCCATCGATGGTCTGGGCATCTTGGGAGAACATCTCTTCCCCCTGTGCACGTTTGTAACTGAGTTATTGGTCTTTTAATGGCTGAACTGTGAGAGTTCTTTGTATTTCCGGATACGAAGCCCTTATCAGGCCGTTGGCGGGGATCTTCTCCCACTCTGGGGGGTGCCTTTCACCTTGACGTTCTTCCAAGCCCAGAGTTTGGAATTTGGATGACACCCGTTCATGTCTTACGATTCTTCCTTGTGTTGCTTGTGCGTTTGGTGCCCTCTCTAATTAATGGTTTCCTGGGTAAGTGGGGGGGGGTAACTTGATCATGGAAATAACTGACGGTAACAGGGGTAATCCATGGACGGTGCCAGGGCTCTGCGAGTCCATTACTGCAAGCCGACAGACAGACGAGGACAGACGGAGCGGGGTGCTCTGCCCACCGCCGAAGTGCTGCCCGAGAAACAGCCTTTCTGAAACTGCCTTAGACTAGCTTGAGCTGCTCCGTCTGAGTGGCAGGAGGCCAGGGAGTCTCCCCAGAGACGGCAAACCGAGGCTGGGAGAGACAGTGAACATTCACATGGGCCCGGGGACAGCAGGAGAGGCGAAGCCCCGGGAAGGCAGTGCTCTGGCCGGGCTGCGTGGCCTCTCGCCCCAGGGCACGGGGATGGACTAACCGACCCTGTTCTTCACCTTGACCGCTGCCCCGACAACAGAGACGGGGATACTTCTCTCTTGGGGCCCTGCAGCTTCTGCCAGGCCACCGCAGCCTCCCTGGCAGGCTCGTCCCCCCCTGGCCCCCCGGCCTCCTGCTCTGTCTCTGCAGACTCCGGCCACTGCAGCCTGAGCTTGGTGCCATTCTCTCACCTCTCCCAGTCTCCCACCCCCAGGGTTCCCAGTGTAGCACAAAGAAAACGACCCCAACCCCGTGCCCAGTGCCCAGCGAAGATGCAAAGTGGAACAGACACCAGCTCCACCCTGGTTCTGCCGGTTCCCTGGGGCAACAGGGGGCTCCAGCTGTGCCACTGAGCCCCTTCCCACCCCCTTCCGCCACTTACCTCTCTCCCATCCCTCTCTGCCCCCAGGTCCCAGGCGGCCCAGGGCTTCCTGTGAGGGTCTGCACAGCAAGGCGGTTGGGGTAGAAGCCTCCTCTTCCTGCCCAACAACACTGCAGCTGCACTAAGCTAACAGCTCCTGTGTTCTATGGAGGTGGGAGTGCCGGGCCACCCAAGCCTTCTGGAACCCCGGGTCTGTGACGTCATCACGTTCTTGGACCTGGGCTAACTTGCACCATGCAAGCTGGCAGTCAGGTCTGAGGAAGTGGGCGGCCCATGGACCCCTGGCAGGACAGGACAGGGCAGAGGGCACCGCTTACTCCGTCTGCCCCCTCCCTTCATTTCAGAGAGCAGGGGGCTGGGTGGGCCTGGGGGGAGTCCCTGCCCCTGTGCCGTTTTCATGCCGGTGGGCCTCGCAGGGCTCTGTCCGCAGGCAGCAGGGGATGCCCATTTGGAGTGGGCGCTCAGTGCAGTAGTTCAGCTTCTTGCAGGAAGTTCGGGCGGCACAGGTCCAGAGGCCGGGCAGCTTCACACGGTGCGGATGATACAGGGGCCAGGCCTCGGTGCAGAGGCAGTGGGGTCTGCGCTGGATTCAGCCCCAGAACTCGCTGTTTCTGAGCCCCAGATGCCCGCTTGCCCCTCCTGCACTCCTGAGGTTCAGTAAACATGGGCAGAAGCCTGAGCTGGCACTGACACCTGCTGCCATCATGGTCTGCATCGGGCTCGCCGCCTGACAACCATGCCCTCCCCACAGAGGCCAGAACAGCCCAGTATCGTCGTCACCAGGGGAGTCTGGGAGAAGTCCCCACCCCGTGTAGCAAAAAAACAGGTGGGAGAGAGGAAGTTTGGCGGCTGGCGGCCACCTGGTCCTCTGACAGAGACGGGCAGCGTCACACAGAGAGGAGGCAGTGAGGGTGGCCCAGCACATGGCGTCCTGGGATGGGAAGCTGGGGGAGCAGGGAGGGGTACTCTGCGGCGACCGCTGGGTGAGTACCGTTTGTGGCCACGATTCTCCAGGTGCCTCGGCTGACTGTGAAGTGACCGCTGTAGGGTGAGAGCCGGGGCTGGAGAGGCTGCCGGAGCCCAGCGCCGCAGCCTGGGAATTCAGTCCCTGCAGCTCAGAACCTCACCAGGACGCGGTCCGCACCCACGCTGGGGTCCAGGGCTGAATTCTGCACGTGCAGCTCGGGGCAAGAGGACAATGCGGCCCCAGCCTCTGGGTCCAGATGTCCCCAAGTTACACCAACAGACTGGTACCTAAGTAGACTCCATCGATAACAGCTGGAAATGCAGATGGCTGGTTTTAATTTCTAAACATTTATGCATTCGTTTGTTATATTTTTACTCATTTGTTTTTTTTTTTTTTCCCCTGTGGAAGGCAGAGAGAGAGACAGACAGACGAGAGAGCTCCATCAGCTGGTTCACTCCCCAGATGTCCACAATGGCTGGAGCTGGGAGCTGGGAAACTCTGACCAGCTCTCCCACATGGGTGGCAGGGACACAATCACCGCCTTCCCCGGGTGCACAGTAGCAGGAAGCTGGAATTGGGGGCAGAGCTGGGATTTGAACCCAGGACTCCAATGTGAGACACTGGTGTCTTTTTTTTTTTTTTTTTTTTTTTTTTGAAAGGCACAGTTAGAGAGGGAGGGAGAGAGAGACATCTTCCATCTGCTGGCTCACTCCCGAAATAGCCACAAGGATCAGGCTGAAGCCAGGAGCCAGGAGCTTCTTTCAGGGCTCCCATGTGGGTACAGGCGCCCAAGCACTTGGGCCATCCTCCACTGCTTTCCCAGATAGTAGCAGGGAGCCAGATCAGAAGTGGAGCAGCTGGGACTCAAACCAGTGCCCACGTGGGGTGACAACGTAGCAGGCAATGGCCTAACCCACTACGCCACAATGCCACCCCAGAGACACCGATGTCTTAACTGGAAGATCCAATGCCTGTCCTTGAATTTAATGCTTGTTGCATATATCTGGGTACCCTGTTGATGCATTGACCATGTTGGGATCAGTAATAAAGCAAAGATATGCATAGTTCATAAATAATTAAAATAATGCCATGAAATTTATTTATCTTTTTTTCTCTTTAGCGAAAGTATGTTCATCAAAAATCTGTGTATATTGGGCCGGGCGCTGTGGCACAATGGGTTAAGCCACTGCCTGCAGCACCGGGATCCCATATGGGTGCCAGTTCAGTCCCCGGCAGCTCCATTTCTGATCCAGCTCCCTGCTAACGTGCCTGGGAAAGCAGCAGAGGATGGCCTAGGTGCTTGGGCCCCTGTACCCACGAGGGAGGTGCAGATGAAGTTCCTGGCTCCTGGCTTTGGTCTGGCCCAGCCCTGGCCATTGTGTTTATTTGGGGAGTGAACAAGTAGATGGAAGATCTCTCTCTCTGCGTCTCTGCCTCTGCCTCTCCCTCTCTGTAACACTGCCTTTCAAATAAGTAAATAAATACATCTTTTTTTAAAAAGTTTCTGCAAAATTAAAACAATTTTTTCACAAATGTTTTCTCAAACTTCATTTGCTTTCTTTTTAATAGGCAGAGTTAGAGAGAGAGAGAAAGGTCTTCCTTTTCCATTGGTCACCCCCTAAATGGCCGCTATGGCCGACGCACTGCGCCAATCCGAAGCCAGGAGCCAGGTGCTTCCTCCTGGTCTCCCATGCAGGTGCAGGGCCCAACGACCTGGGCCATCCTCCACTGCACTCCCGAGCCACAGCAGAGAGATGGACTGGAAGAGTAACAACCGGGACAGAATCCGGCGCCCCAACCGGGACTAGAACCTGGGGTGCTGGCACCGCAGGCAGAGGATTAGCCTAGTGAGCTGCAGCGCCGGCCCATTTTCTTTTAAAATATTGAGTGACTGCTTAGGCGAGCAGTGAGGACATCTGCGTCCCACACTGGAGCACCTGGATCTGGCTCCTGGCTGCACCTCCACGCGTAGGGGACCTTGAGGGGCAGGGGGTGGCTCAGTGAATGGGGCCCCTGCCACCCACGGGGGAGACCTGCATGGAGTTCGTGGCTCCTGACTCCGGCCTGGCCCAGCCCCTGCCATTGTGGGCAGTCAGGGAGTGAATCAATGGATGCAAGTGCGCTGTCTCTTTTCCTCGCAAGTTAATAAATTGAGAAATATCAATTAAATCAAAAAGCAAAATGGAAATTAGAATTCATGTCAGCTTTTTATATCAAAATCATTTCAATAAATCCAAACCTTTTAATTTTTGGAAAGGAGCTGTGGGGAGCAACTGGGAGCAACTCGGACTAGACTAAGTTACTGGAATTAAGACTTATTCTATGCATCTGCTCTCCCACAATATGGCGCTGGGAGAGGAGGAAACAGCTTCTACACAGCTGCCTCCAGTTCAACCAATAAACTGTAGGACCTGCTCCTGATTGGAGGAGAGCAGCGTACTCGGCGTGTGGGTAGCAGAGTTGGGATTGGTGGAAGAGGACTATAAAGGAGGAGAGCGACAACATGCACCAGGAACATCTATCTGAAGGAACACCTGTGCAGCCCCCGAGAGAGCCGGCCGGCGGTGTGCGCTCCCCCGCGGAAGTGGGGAAGGTGGAAGGGACGGTAGCCAACCCGGGAAGAACCAGCAGCAAACCCGGGGAGGGCCGAACAGACAAAAGAATAGCGCAGGGTCCTGTGTCGTTCCTCCACGAAGAGGGGGAGCGACATAATGGTGCGGTGACTCGGATAGGAAACCTAGGCAGGGCTTAGTGTCGTTCCTCCACGAAGAGGGGGAGCGACAGGAACATGCCACGTGTTTTATTTAATATTGCAAATCTTTCCTCGATTTACAACTGAGGCAAAGACGGTACTCATCCACAGGTACTCACAAATTCCAGGCTCACAAACAGGAACGCAAAACCGAGAAGAAATCCTGCACTCACCGCTCCTGGAGAAAGTACTTCCCGGCGCCCGACTCGGCTGCATTAGGAGTCTGCGCAGAAGAGGCTAACCAGTTACCTGCCTTTTCTTCTGCTCACAGCCACCGCCCTCGGGAGCGGCGCGGGGGCCTGACAACCCTTAGATGCAGCTGCGTTTTCTCCGTGGACACGGGCTGAGGTGTGCCGAAGCCCCTCTCTCAGCCGAGCGGGTGGATGTTGAGGGGCCAGTCGTGTTGTACCAGAGCCTGGCACTGGACTTGCAAAGCCGAAGCACCTGTGGCCCCTAATAATTTACTCCTCTTGTGTGTGGGGTACAGAGCCTGGCAGGGGCTCCTCTTGCTGGGAAAGTATGCGTCCGGGAAGAAGTCACTATAGGAACTGACAAAATGCTAAGGGAACATCTCCTTGGAGTTTTCAATAAAATATGAGAAAAACACGGGGCTGGCGTAGTTGCATAGCAGGCTGAGCTGTCACCTGCGATACCAGAATTCTATGTCAGAGCACAGGTTCGAGCCCCGGCTGCCCTGCTTCTGATCTAGCTGCCTGCTAACGCCCCTGGGAAGGCAGCAGAAGACGGCTCCCTGCACCCACGGGGGAGCCCGGGCTGAGGTCCTGATTCCTGGCTCAGCCGCAGCTGCTGCAGGCACTGGGGGAGTGAACCGGCAAATGAAGGATCTCTGTCTGTCTGTCTCTGTCTCTCTGCCTTTCAGATAAATAGAAACAAGATGAGCTCAGTGAGCGGGCCTGGGCAGTGGGCGGATCGGTTGCTGTGCCCCTGGGCCACGCCTCTGCCTGGCTGTGCTTGTTGGTGGGTCTGCTGTGTGTCTGCCCAAACCGAGCAAGCAGCTGGCCGCGGCACCGCACACCCCCGTGGCCCCTGCGCCTGCCTGCCACCTGAGGAGGTCCCTTCAGTTTCTCCTGTATCTTCTGCTTAGGGCGTTGCACTGCCTTTTTCTTTTCTTTTCTATATTTCTTGTATTTTAACAGGGAGAGTTAGTGAGAGAGAGACAGAGAGAAAGGTCTTCCTTTGCCGTTGGTTCCCTTTGCCGTTGGTTCACCCTCTAAATGGCCACTACCAAAGCCAGGAGCCACGTGCTTCCTCCTGGTCTCCCATGCGGGTGCAGGGCCCAGCATCTGGGCCATCCTCCACTGCCTTCCCGGGCCACAGCAGAGAGCTGGACTGGAAGAGGAGCAACCGGGACAGAATCTGGCGCCCCGACCGGGACTAGAACCCAGGGTGCCGGCGACGCAGGCGGAAGATTAGCCAAGTGAGCCGCGGCGCTGGCCGCTGCTTTTTGACCTCATTTCGAATGGAAAAACCGATCGTGGCACATTCACACACTGGAATCCGGTTCCTGGAGGGAAGGGCGTGGTCAGATAGCACACGGACACCAGGCCTGGGTTCCAAAGTGGCGATGCCGAGTGAGAGAAGCCAAAGAAGGGCTTGTTCAGGTGAGTCCTTGCGCAGAAAATGCAAACAGGCCTGGGACGACAGGAGCAGACCGGCAGGTGCTGGGGAACGGGTTAGGGAGGGGCAGAAGGAGGGCTCCGCCCAGGGCACAGGATGATGGGTACGTGTGCTCCTATCAAGTGGCCCCAAACTGTCCCATCATATGTGCAGCCGCAAACTGTCCCATCGTACGTGCAGCCGATCGTATGTCAGTTCTTCAGAAAAGGTGCTTGAATATCAGAGAATTGCTATTGTTATTCAAAATATGTTTTGTGAAAAGGCCGCTTGGGGTCTGGCATGGTTGAAACCCCTCCTCACACTGGTTGGGTGGGCTCAGAAGTGGGTATGTGGGGCTGGCTCTGTGGCTCAGTGAGCTAAGCCACTGCCTGTGGCGCCAGCAACCCTTATGAGCACCCGTTCGAATCCCTGGTGCTCCACTTCTGGTCTGGCTCCCTGTCGATGTGCCTGGGAAAGCAGGGGAGGATGGCCCAAGTGCTTGGGCCCCTGCCTGGCTCTGGCTTGGCCCAGCGTTAGTCATTGCGGGCATTTGGGGACTGAACCAAGGAATGGAAGATCTATTTCTCTCTCTGTCACTGTGACTCTGCCTTTCAAATAAACAAATCTTAAAACAAAATGTGTGTGTGTGTTGGGGTCTCCTCCACTTCCTCCACCTTCTGGTCCACAAGCTCATTGCTTGCAGTTTTTACAGTAGCCACTAGAGGGAAGCAGTGACCCATGCACAGGGCCTGGCTTCAACACAGAATTCCCCGCTCTAGCTCCCTAGCCCAGGAGGTGGCATTAGTACCCCATCACACTCAGTGGTAGAGCTGAGAATTGGACCATGGGCTCCCAGATGGCTCCCGACCCTGCCTTGTGGGTCCCTCCACACCAGGGGACCGCCTTGTGACAGCTGAGAGGCTGTCCTGACCTCCGTGGGCGGCACAGAGTGGGCAGGGAGTGGCTGGGCCTCTCA